GGCCGCAGTTCCCTGCAACAACGGGTCTATCTGGGGCATGCGGGGAGCAGTAAAGACATAAAGTCAGAGCTGCAAGTACACACTCAAGCACGCAGCAGACTGAGGCAAGAAAATCACCAACTCAACACCAGGCTGCCCTGTTCTGTGAAACCCTGTCTCAAAACAAAGACAAAACCGCCCTAACAAACAAGAGCTTTGTTAACTCTTTTGATTTGTCCCGGCTGGTGCAAGAATCCATCCAGTCATTTGGTGGTCATGAGCCCATATCTACCCGTGAGTGACCAGCTCAGACGGCAGGCCTCTGGGTTGATAATATTACCGAATAATGTATTAATGTAAATGTTTATAAAAGTTTTGTCAGGGCTCATGAGATGGCTCAGACAGTAAAGTACTCGCCTTGCAAGCATGGGGACCTGGGTTCAATGCCCCCAGGACCCACTTTAAAAAGTGAGGCGTGGGATGTGGTGATAAATGTTTATCTCAGCACAGGAGGGTCCTGGGGCTCACCGGCCAGCCTAGCCTGCTTGGTGAGTTCCAGGCCAATCAAGGACCCCGTGTCAAAAAACAAGAAGGATGGTTACCTGAGGAACAACACCTAAGGTTCACACACACACACACACACACACACACACACACACACACACACACACGAGACACATGTGCACACACAAATATGACTGTGACAGACTCTGGCATGCCTACCTATGGACTATTCAACCCTTCTTCCTCATTCATAAAAGTCTCTGCATGATTGAGCGTCAACTACATAGCAGCTAAATTCCCCCATGGGATGCTGCAGTTGTATGGGACTCCCACGAAAACCCCTCAAAGACAGATGACTCATTTGGGAGAAAATTCACTCCTATCTTCTTTGTCCTCTCTGAAATGTACAGAAGCTGTCATGTGGGCTGAGAGGTGGCATGTACAATAGAAACCAGCACTGAGACGATGGAAAATGGAAGACTGAGTTCCTATAGCCTTGGGCAATTCTACCCACACCCAAGCTTCTTTGACATTCAAGGGAAATAATGCTGTGTAAGTAAGTTACTCTGTCATACGCAGATGACCCTACACATAACTAATGAGTTATGCTACAAAGAAAAAACACAATAAGTTCTAAATGACAGGCTTATAAAGGTCATGTTCTCTGAATAAGGTTAAGCTATAATAATAACAAATAATACTTTTCTTTTCGGGCTGAGCGTTGGTGGAGCACGCCTTTAATCCCAGCACTAGGGAGGCAGAGGCAGGTAGATCTTTGTGAGTCTAGCCTGGTCTACAGAGCTAGTTCCAGGACAGGCTCCAAAGCTACAGAGAAATCCTGTCTCGAAGAAAAACAAAAAGACAAAACAAACAAACAAAAAACAAATAATACTTTTCTGAAAGGGACCAATTAATCTCAACCTAAGAGCTGGAGAGAGGGCTCAGCAGTTAGGACAGCAGCTGCTCTTGCAGAGGACCTGGGTTCAGTTCCCAGCACCCACTTCAGGGAGCTCACAAACTCCAGCCCCAGGGGATCCTATGCCCTCTTCTGGCAGGCACCTACACAACATGCACAAACCCACACACAAGAACACACAATTAAGAAGTAAATCTTGGGACCAGAGAGATGGTTCAGTGGTTAAGAGCACACACTGCTCTTGCAGAAGCCCCAGGTTCAGTTCCCAGAACTATACTAAGTGACTAACAACCACCTGTGACCCCAGCTACAGGGAAATCTGACACCTCTGAACTCCATGACCGCCTGGACAGCTGTGCATGTGCGCGCACACACACACACACACACACACACACACACACACACACAGAGGAATCTTTCTTAAAAATTCACAATTATAATATCAAACTTATTTGGAAAACAATAATATAGGATTACATTATGTATCTGTACACATGAAAATATGTGATACCACTATCTTTAAAAGGCAAACCACAGCCATAAACACTTCCAAGATAAAAATAAAATAAGAAAAGCAGGCTGAGGCCTGAGAGGGATGGCTCAGTGGGTAGAGGTGCTTGCCCCAAAGCCCCACAACCTGAGTTCGAGCCTTGGAGCCTATCTGGTAGAAGAGAACTGACTTCACCCGTACACTACAGCATGTGCACAACACCGCAAAAAGCAAAGTAATACAGACATTTGTTTAAAGTCTAGCAGGCCAGGACTGTGGCTCAGTTGGTAAAGTATTTGACTAGTATGCACCAAATCTGGGTTCCATCCCCAGCAATACATGGATCAGGTGTGGCCTTGCCTGCCTGTGCATTCAGAGATCTGGAGTTGAAGGTAGGAGGGTCTGAAATTCAAGGTCATCCTTGGCTACCTGGCCAAGCTGGGCTACTATTACTGGTCTACCATTCTACCAACTAAGACATTTCTCCCTTCCTCCCTCCCTTCCTCCCTCCCTTCCTGTTTTTCTTTCTTTCTTCTATTTTCTTTCCCTTTTGAGAAGTGACCTGACTGAGTCTCAAACTGCATGGCTCAAGTCATCCTCCTGTCTCTACCTTCAGTAGAGTTCTAAATCTAAGCCCAAGCCTGGGAATCTGACTTCAAAAGAATAACTGCACATGACAGTTTGTATGCACGCACATGGCTAAAGTCTGAAGCTAAACCAGACTTCCAGCAGAGGTAACTTCTGGGGAAAGACTAAGGGCTAAAGCATAATGGTGAGGACCTGTGCTTCTGTTTGCATTATTTGATTTCAAAGCTAAGAAGACAGTGATGTCCTGCTTATATAAATATTAAATATTTTATTTTTAAATGTTAATCACTTTTAGCCATGGTTTCATGCATCTTAGGGTTTTGAACTCTGTGTTGCTGAAGCTGGCCCTGAACTCCTGATCCTCATGTCTGCATCTCCAAAATGCTGGGATTACAGGCATGTACTAGCATTAAAATATTATATATATATATATACACATACACTCTTGGTGGTATTTTTGAATCCCAAAGAACATATTCATATATTACTTGTATAAAATGTACATTTTTTTCTTTTAATCCTAGAGATATTTTTGAACTCCAAAGATAAGAGAAAAATACATCAAATGATTCCCCAAGAAATGGAAAAATTTACTTACAAAAGAAAACACATTTGATCCAACTATTGTTCATGCCTGGAAGGGGAAACAGACAATGCCTGCAAAGCAATGGTGCAGGCCATGGACGGTCCACAGTTCCAAATGTTACTCAAAAGAGCACTCTGGCCAAACACAAAGCCTGCACAACCATGATGTTGAGACAGTTGTTGATAAGACTCAAAAAAAAAAAAAAAAAAAAAAATGGCAGGTGCATAGAAAAGCAAAGACTAGAGGAAGAGCCAGGCTTGGTGACACAGGGCCATAATCTTAAAGCCCAGGAGGCTGAGACAGGCATGGGAGTTTGGGGCCAGCCTGGGCTACAAGGTTGAACTCATCTCAACAAGAGGGCGATGCCCCAAAACATGAATGGAGTTCTTGATCTCTCTCTGCATTCAAGAACACCCTGAGGGCAGAGTTTGTGTCTCCAACCTTATTCAGAGTCCTTTATGAAACAAGCAATAGAGGAATGCACTCTTAGAAAGTTCCCTTTCCTGGGAGTCTGTGCTGGTGAGCCTCTGAACACTGTAATAATACTCAGTTTTAAAAAACACAGCAAAATGGTAGGCTAAGCCTAGTCAGGTGGGGATACACACACACACACACACACACACACACACACACCACTGCACAGCACAGGATCGGGACACACCTCATATTTACTATTTGATTCTTGATATTTATAATGTGCTCATACAGAGAATGTAATAAAATAATGTGAGTGAATGGCCATCACCAGAACTAGGAGGGTCCCCTCCCAAAGAATCGATGATTAAAACCCAGTGAAAACAATTGCTCCAATATAAACCAGGAATAAAACGGAAAAATTAACCAAGTACAATGATCAAACCAGAAGAGAAAACCGAAAGCCTTGCTTAGAGCGGTTGGGACATAGTTTGGTTGGTAGAGTGCTGGCATGCAGGGGGACCTGGGTTCCAACTGCAGGGTCACAATGAGATAAGTACTGTGGCACACATTTGTAATCCCAGGACTGGGCAGGTGGAGGCAGGCGGATCAGGCCATGCAGAGAAAGTGTCTCAAAAAAAACAAAACACAACGAAGCAAAACCCCCAGGGGCTGTGGGTGGGCTCAGCACAAGGCCTTAGGTGTGATGGAGAGCATTAGGGGGAAAGTTGAATAAAAAAATGAATATGGGGGGAAACCAACAATTTCCAAAGCCAAAAGTGCGCGTATAAGACGACGTTTTCAAAGCACACCCAAGCCTAGGGGATAAGATGACGCGCACTGTGTTGTTAGTGCTTTCCACTCGCTCAGAGGGTTGTGGAAATGTTACAGCTTCTTCTCCACAAGAACCAACGGAATGATGGCACCGCTTTCCTGCTGGGCTCCACCCTTCTCCACCCAAAGCGAGAGGGGCAGTGACTCCTGCCTGTCATTCCCAGGGCTGTTCTCACACATACACAGAACATACACCCATACACTATATATACTGTCACTTTGCACATTTTTAAACATGATATAAATGACATCAGCGAGTATTACTACTGTGCTACTATTTTCTCATTCAACACTGTTTTTCAGACTTAATCCATATTCATAACACAGAATACTTAACACAGGAAAGAAATCATGAGCAGGGCTAAACCCGACTCCAAAACCAAACAAAAAGAACACCAGAAACCCTTTCTGAATTAATTTGCAACTGCGATTTCCACAAGGTGCCCTTGTCTCCCGGGTCCCTGTGGAAGGGTCCCAATCTCCAATTGAGGGTTCAAAGCATTTCCCCAGGCCTGGTGGGTGCAACTCCAGGTGGAGCGCTGGATAGCAAGCAACAAGGGAAGCCGGATGTGCAAGCCCTGTCTCTCAGCCGTGCCCCACCAGGACTAGATCCTCTGCCAAGTATTTATCACTGTTAGACATCTGAAGTTTCGTTTTGGAAAAGAAAACCCTTTGCAGGTAAGACTTACAATTGGCGTCCCAAAAGGAATGTAACCTGTGGGGGAGAGAAAAAGAGTCAGGTCCCACGAACCTTCTGGGTCTGGTGAGGTACCCAGAAGCCTCTGGGGCTTGCTCTGCTCCGTGGCCCTGGTGGAGAAGTCCAGAACAACCACAGAAAGACACTACAGCCTTCCCTCAACTCAGCTTTCTTCCCCCCCCCACAGAAAAGGGCTCATCACCCCTCAAACTCCATACCATCCCCTCTGTCCCCAGCTGCCAGACGCTGGCCGGCAGACAGAATAGGCTGCTGCTTGTCTCCAGTGGTCCTCTGAACCCTTTCCTCCCTGAGGCACAATTCCCCATCCCCATGGTTTCATTTCCCAAGAAGCCCTGAGCATCCTCCTTCTTCCTTAAGCCTTTTTAAACTTTTTTCCCCTTCGCACCCATTCCTGAGACAGGAGTTCCCTCTCCACCTGAGATGGGTATATGTTAGATGCCAGAGCATTTCAAAGCTCTGGTGTTCTGGCTGGCCAGCCTCGGAAGGCAGGAGAGCACCGGGTGAGGTTTAGCCAGGTCCTGGCCTATGTACAAGGCTTCCTCACTGCTGTTAGTGAGCAGCCTCCCATCCCTTAGCCTCTGGCTTATAGTAGACAGTCAGCTGATGGCCAGGCGCCAGGGACCACACTTATGAGTGGCATAGAGAACCCAGGTCCACGTCCTGAGCAAACACAGCTTCACATGCTGATTGATGCCATGGCTCTCCTGCGCCTCCCTCTGGGGACAGGGCCAAGTTTGGGGGGGTGGGGTGGAATCAGGGGACTGAAATGAATGCCTGCCTTGGAAAGGTCCAGAATTATAAAGGAAGGCAAGCTGGGCGAGAGCCTGCTCTGCCCAGTAAAGAGACAGTGTACAGCTCCAGGCTCTGTATGTTCAGAGCCCTTTCTGCCTAAGCCTTCACAGAAAAGCCAGGGCTGCCAGCAGCCAGTGCCCCCTGGTTTACAAACTGGAAACCACACTGTGGCCGAGTCTCTGTGAGGTCAGGCTTTCTGAGGCAGGGAAGGTGGGTATCCTTGTCTGACTGAGGTCTCCTTTTCCAGCCTTCCCAAGGCAGCAGACAGCAGCCCTCTACGACATCCCCCCGATGAAAATGGCAGCTGACTGGTGTGAGAATACCCCTCCGCAGAGTGACTTGGGGCAAAAGTCCATAACCTCAGACTAGGGGAAGGGCCCCATCTCAACCTGAACAATTGCACTCTGAGCCATAAGTGTGAAACACACAAAACAGCCCTCCGGGAGCTACCAGATGGGGACTTCCTGGGGGCAGAAATTCATAACCTCTGTGCACATGGGCTCCACAGAACAGGAATCCTGCCTTGTCTAGAGACACGTCACGATGCCCACAGAAGGGAAGGGGATTCAATATTTAACAACAACATCGGAGGGCAGTGAATCAGTCTAGAACAGTGAGAAAAAAAAATGCATTTTCAGGGGGCCACGTGGTCTTGTATGAGCCAGGGCTTGCCCAAAACAGGTGACGTGAGGATGCTATTAGGAAGGGGTCTGTGTTTGTGACTCAGTGGACTGAGACCTGAGTGCAGGGGCCAGGGCACCACTGCAGCCCCACAGGTGGGAAGGGAGGCAGGTGTGAGCCTGGTCAGTGTCCAATAGGAGTGAGCTAATGTGAACACCTGTGGGCAAGAGGGTGTGGCTGTGCGTGCGACAGGCCACGCCCTTCTCTGATGCTGTGCGGCGACTACAGCCTCCAAACTGAAATATTCTCTTCTGCAGGAAGGGGGTGGGAGGGCAGGGATGCTGCGGCCCTCAGTTGCCACCTGTGCTGGGTGGGTGGGGTGTCTGAGGGCCAGCAATGCTCCTTTAAGTAATCCCAGTAATGCTTGGCGGTTCAGCAAGAGATTTGAGCGCACGGTTCCTTCGGGACGCCCGCCCTCAGCAGCCTTTCTGGGGTGAATGCATATCTTTTCACGTCTTCCCAGGAAAAGTCATATGATACCTGAGCACATGGCCTAGCTGGGGCCACAGCCAGCACCCCAAGCTGGGCAGAACCAGGAGGAGCTCACCTGACATTCTGAAAGGCATGAAGATCTTCTCATTGGTGTCCGGGTGTAGGATAGCCTGGTGTGGGGAAAGGACGGGGCGGGGAGAAGCAGGCAGAGGAGTAAGGGTGAGCACAAGGACAGCGTCCGCAAGAAGACCCTCCCACCGGCGGCTCTGTGTTGCCCCTGGACAGGTGGTTTTCCCCACTCCCCAGGATAAAGGGAGACTCAAACATGAACCATGGTCAGCATCCTCCTCCTGGACCACCCTCCAAGCCTGTGTCCACCTTGAAGTGTCCTGCCCTTGCCTGGCACACAGCAGACACAGAATCAGACCTGGTGATCAGAATCCAGCCTTTTCTTGACACTCCCAGAGTTCCTGGGGTGAGGCCATTGAGGCCAGAATGGGATGCTGGGAAGGAGGAAAGGGTGGAGAGGCTGGGTACCCACTATCATGGAATTAGGACTTCTGCTAGACCCCCTGGGACGGGGAGAGGAAGGGTCCAGGAGCTAGATTACCTGTTTGATTTTCTGTGCGCCCCAGAGCTGGAAGAGAGAGAGAAATATGTTTAAGTTCTCTGGGTCATGTTTCCTTTTATTATTTTTGTTTTGTTTTAAGATTTATTTTTATTTATGAGTAGATATGCACGTTATCTGTGTGAGTATATGCCACACATGTGTAGCCTACAGAGGTTGGAAGGGGACTGCAGATCCCCTGGAGCCGGAGCTTGGTGTGGAGGCTGGGAACTGAACTCAAGTCCTCTGAGACAGCAGCCAGTGCTATTAGCCCCTGAACCACTGTTCCAACCTCCTACTTGTTTATTTTTGAGACAGGATATCCTGAAGCCCATCCTGGCCTCATCCTCAATATACAGTGACAATGACTTTGCCCTCTTTTTCTTTTTTTCTTCCCATCCTCCCATGCCCCCATCCCATCCCCCATCCACTCCCCAGGGAGGGTGAGGCCCTCCAGGAGGGATCATCAAAGTCTGTCAAGTCATTTGGAATAGGGCCTAGGCCCTCCCTGGGGTCTCAGGGCTAAGGGAGTACCCTCCATGGGGAATGTGCCCCCGAAGTCCTTTCTGTACCAGGGATACACCCCCCTGAACTCTTGGTCCTCCTGGAGCCTCTACCTCCAGAGTATTTAGACTAAGGTGGCCGACCATGACAGCTGGGGACGGACACAGGACTCTGAGCATGCTAGGCAAGCATCTACCAACAGGGTTACATTCCTAGCCCACTTTTTTATTTTGTTTTCCTTCTTTTTGCTAAACTCGGATTTTTTAATTAGCACATCTTCATTCTGACAGTTTTGTAGATATATGTCATTGTACCTGGCCAGCACCATGTTTTCTAACCAAGGGAATTTTGAGACAAGGTTTTCTATAGCACGGGGTGTCCTTGAACACCCTGCTCTTCCTCCCTCTACTTCCTCAGGGCTGGGGCCACGGGTGGGTACCATGATAACACCTGCTTCTCGAATCAAGAAAATAAGACAAATAAACATCAACATTCGATAAAACAGTGGCCTGTGCAAAGGTATCTGAGCTGGGTGCCTGTGATGCCAGCCACTCAGGAGGCAAAGACAAGAGGATCCAGTTCAAAACCAGCCTGGGATACTTGAGACCCTGTCTCAGACTGGTGTTTGAAACACCTAACTGAAAAGCTCCTTCCTCGGTGAGCCTAGATATATACACATACAGAAATGATTCAGAGGAGGGATTAAGACAATCGGGAACTGAAGAGGACTTTGAAACCTCGTAAGTTACCTTTAGAGAGAGAGGCAGGATGATGCAAGGGGAAGAGGAAGGTACAAACCCTCACTCCACCACTTCCTGGATGGGAAGCTAGTCCGTCTGACTGCCTGCCTTCCCGACTGCCTGCCTGCCTTCCCCTCTTTCTTCATTTTCTTCTTCTCTCCTTTCAACCTTCCTTTAAAAAAAATATTTAATTTTAGTTATGTGTATATGTGTACACGCGAGAGGTTGTATGTGTATATGAGTACAGGTGAATACAGAAGCCAGAAGAGGGTGCCAGATCCCTTGGCATTGGAGCTAGACATCACTGTGAACTTCCCAGTGTGGGTGCTGAGAATCGAACTCAGGTCCCCTGTTAAGAGCAGGGTGTACAGTTAACTGCTGAGTCATCATTCCAGCCCATGTTTTGCTTTGCCTTCTAAGACACAGTCCTATACGCCCCAGGCTGCTCTCAAACTCTCTATGTAGCGTGATTCTGAAATCCTGATCCTCCTGCCTCCACCACCTGGGTGCACACTGTTCCGTGTGCAGCATTCTACCAACCATGCTACACCCCTAAGACTTCCACACACGAGGGATGTGAGTGGGTGGAGACAACGTCAGGTGTCTTCAATTGCTCTCGGTCTGACTAGGCTGGACTCTACATGGCCAGGGGGCCCCATGGATCCTCTTATCTCTGCAGCTCCAACGTCTAACGCAGGATGCACGTCACCCTCAATGCTGGTTTTTACACGGGGACTAGGGATTCGGCGCAGGCCCTTACGCTTGCATGACGAGCACTTTACTGAATAATGAGCCCTCTCCGAAGCCCCCAAAACCTCTTTATCTATTCTTTGCTCCTATAATTCTATAACTGTTCACATATCACCTTTTCAAAATTAATTGATATATATACATGCATAGACCTGTATATGTATATATGTATGTATATATCTCAAAGGCAGGACTGGCTGTAAAGAGCAAGACCACTTCTCAAGACACTGGGGATTCACACTGCGGATTAATCAATTAGATAATTAATATAATAAAGGCAACCAATGGAAAAAAGAAATAGTGCGCATTTAAAACTCTTCACGAGCCGGGCTTAGTGGCACACACCTTTAGTCACTGAAGGGCTCTCTACCAAGCCCCAAGCATGGCAAACATTGCACCAACTGGTGTTGCCCTTTACCCTTCTCTCTCCCTTGCAAAAAAACACTAGATTACATTCCTAAGGTCAGCCCTCAAGGTCCATTCCCCTATTGGGCCACTGACTCATTCCTGAGACAAAACTCCAAGGTCCAACCATCAAAATTCATTGACTAGACTGGCTAACCTGTCCAAGAAGGGCTTACCAACACACCCTAGACAGACTTCTTTTCTCCTTAAACACCCATTCCTGATGAAGAAAAACAAACCAACCAACAAACAAAACTGCTGCTTGCTGTCTGCTTTTGCCCAATCCACAAGTGCCCCCTCCCCACCTTCACCCTGCTTGCCCCTGGGGTAATAAATCTCCTCTGTGCTGAGAACTGGGTGTCCGGATGTGTCCTGTACCAACTCCCAGGGGCCAGAGGCCACCCTCCCCTACAATCAGGGTACTCAGGAGGCAGAGGCAGGCAGATCTCTGTGAGTTCGTGGCTAGTCTGTTCATAGTGAGTTCCAAGACAGCCAGAGCTACATAATGATCCCCTGTCTCAAATGATAATAAGTTTTTTGTTTTTGTTCTTGTTTTGGTTTTTAATGAAACAGGGTGGCCGACATCCAAGACCTTTATTGACTCCTGTGGTATATGGAAGATTAAATCTCCAACAAAATCCCCATAGCTGGAGCACAGCAGTTGTCAGATGGCTGACCAGGCAGGGATCTGTATGACTGAGCTCCTGTGGCAGAGAAGTGACACGCGCCTTTCCCAGGTCAATGCTCCCCACCCGTCTACTTTCTGCTCCCTTCTGGGTGTCAAAACTAGGCAAGGCTGCACCACGGCCTTTTTGATGCTAACAGGATACCACCAGGGGAGGGTAGAGATGCACCACCCAAGCCAAACATTCCTTCCCTCCTTCTCTGCCAGGAGCAAAGTGACTGTACACAGGGTTAGGTACTCGGGCCCTGGCACAGCCACCATCTTGTCCTGTACTCCTGGTTAAATTCCCACATACTTTTGGCTTGTATACTCTTGTTTTGTTTGAGTCAAAGCACACCTGTAACCCTGAGGCAGGAAGAGTCTGATTCCAGGCCAACCTACAGTAAATAGCAAGTTCCAGGCCAGCCTGGGCTGCATGGAGAACAACTGTCTCAACCAATCAAAAACAAATATATAAAAATTTAACCAGAGCTGGGCACGGTGGCATATGCCTACGAAACTCCCAGATTCTGGAGACAGAGGAGAGAGGATCAGGAGTTCAAGGCCATCCCAGCTACATAGTGAATGTGAGACCATCCTGGGCTACATGAGGCCCTGCCTCAAATAACAAACAGCAACAACAATTGGTCGGAAGAGGAAGGGGGTGGGATCCATGCCCCTTCTGGTCCTGTGGACCACACCAACTCAAAAGGACAGGTTAAGGACACTGGCTACAGTTCTGGCTGGGTTTTTCCCCCACGACCTGCTGAACCCATGAATTAAATGCTGGATTCAGAAGAGACAGCATTTACTGCCCACAGGGAAAAGGCTGTGGTTCCACAAATCACTCTTGCAAGCAGATCACAGAGAACGACCATCCTGGGACAAACAGCCATGCACGGAAGGCCAACTGAGCCACAGTGGCTGAACACCCACATGGAGAGTCCAGGCCAGGGTCTTCCCAGCAGCTCACAGAGGCACCCTCACTCTGAACTCACTACCAGGTTTAGCACTGACCTCCTTTGTACTCAGCCCAGCACCCTCTGGACCTCTGGCTGAACTTGGAACCCTGCAGCCCTGACCCTGTGGGACCGACTGGCTTTAGTAACGGCCCCGTGTGGATCTGAGAGTTGAGACTGTTTGTTTGGCTCAGTTGGAGAACAGGGACAAAGGGCAGTATGGAGAAGCCATCTGGGTGGTTGTTACAACACACAGATTTACTGATTTCAGAGGTGAACCTGCCTGGGGTCTCCAAGTGGGCTGGGGTCCCATGTGCTGCTAGAAGACAGGACACACCCCAGCACCCAGAGGGAGAACAATGGCCCCACCCCCAGTCTGGCTCGCTTACTTCCCCCCTGTCTCCTAGCAAGCTGCTTCCTAAACCTCCTAAGGCAGCAAAGACAGAGCCTATTTAAAACAACCTCCAGAAGGTAATTAAACAGAGCCTGAAGGGGACCCTTCTGTACGGGAAGGATGCCTCCATTCAACAAACAAAAAACTTCCTAATTGATCAGTTGGACCCATTGTATTATAGCGCACCATTAATTGTGTTGCCATGGTAACTCCCAGGTACCATGTACCTATATAGGCCTCTGTGGGGTGAAGGAGGTCCCCAATTCCACAGATACAGGAATGAAGAGGGATGTTCCGTGACATCGTTACATAGAAAGCTTCTCTCTGAATACAGGTCAGGCTCCACAGAGGAATTAAAAAGTCTCCCATTGGCTTACCAGGAGATGTGGGGTGATTTACTTAATCTTTCTGAGCCTCCAATACCTCTTCTATAACATGAAGGCAGGGATATCTACTTTCATGTTATAATAAAATTATTTACCCAGCGAGCAAATGTTCATCAAGCAGCTACTACACGTTAAGCACTGAAAACATCTCAGTGTAAAACAGTAAGGTGTCTCAGTGGGTAGAACGCTGTCTCAGCATGCTTGAAGTCCTGGTTCCCATGTCAGCGTGGCATGGTGGTGCATGCCTGTAATCCCAGCACTCTGGAGGTGGAGCAGGAATTTAAAATCATCCTTGGCTACATTATGAGGTTAAAGCCAGCCTGGAACACAGGAGACCTGTGGCACAGCAATTTCCTCCACACTAAAACATCCCTCCAGGAGGGAGAGGAGATCGTGAGGCTCAAGAGGTAAACAAACAAACAAACAAACAAAAAATCACATATCTGGGAAAGCAGAAACTTGGAAGATTTTGGAAGGTATTTCCCAAGGATTATGGAAACAGAATTTAACTGCTGGAGAAGGAGATTGACCCAGTAGGCTGAGAGAGACTCTAGACTACGGACCGGACCTCCTTCAAGTCATACATCATTCACTGGTGCAGCAATCAATCACTTAGGAAGGCAACAGTCTGTGGAGAAGCTGTCGGCCGTCCAGGAGCAGAACAAGCCAGGCTACATTAGCAAACCACCTGGGACTGCTTAGACTACTAAGGGCACACACCAGGTGTCCAGGCAGCTCAGGACATTGGTGACAGCGGCCGGAGTCAGGACTCACATACCTGCCAAAGGACCTTGGAGCAGACAGAGAGCAGGTGCAGAGGCCAAGACTACTGTCTCCTTAAGACCAAGAACTCTGTGGAAGTCTTCAGACGCCCCAGACAGGCTTGACCAGGGCCATCCCTGAGCCAGAACCTGGAGCGCTCCTTAATTTCACACTGCTGTGGAGCTGATGTGTCATCTCTGTCCGCCCTATTTCCCAGCCTGTGACTTTGATGACTGAGGCCCAAGGAAGGAAACATCGTGACAGCCATCACACACAGCCCAATTTTTCAGGCTGGCTCTGCAGAGTGAGATGCTGCTCCCGGGGACCAGAGTGGCAGGCTCACACCTAGAGCAGCGTGCCACCCAGCCACCAGATGGACCCACCAGGCACTGCCACTGCCAGCCAGAATGCAGCAGCATGGGGGGAGCGAAATGCCAAGCTCCAGGCCCTCCCCCCCCCCTCCCCTCACCCCCCACCCCCACTCCCGGGAGGCCTGGAGGGGCTTTGGGGACAGAAAACAAAGCAGGCTGAGAAACAGGACAGCAGCTTTCAGCTGTCTGAGAGAGCAAAGAGAATAATGTGTCCTCTATCCCCAAACTCTGGGAGCTGAGAGAGGTCCCAAGAGCCCAGCTCGGCGGGAATGGGGCGTAAGGGCGCTTAGACAGGTACCCGGCCAGAGTCAGCAAGTGGCCTTACTTCTAACAGGTACAAGGACACTGGAAAGTGTGAGAGCTCCTTCAGGCTAGAGGCCTGGAGGTTCAAGTCTACCATGCAGACCCAAGGCCAGACAGAAATGCCACCACTAGCGAACGAGACTATATACAGCCTGCCTCCCTGCCCAGGGCTGGAGGGCAAACACCTCAACACAGACAGGCCGCTTGACTGCCCAGGCGTCCTGTCTCAACACTCCCTCGGGGCCCTGCGTGGGCATTTGGCCAACGTACTGAGGTTACTCTGCTCACATCTAGCACATCCGTCCTGTTCATTTCTTGAGGAGCTTTCTCCAGGGCCTTCAGCACAGTGTGTGTCTTTGTCTGGGCCAATCCTACCACAAATTGCCTCGCCCACTCCTTTCTCGTCCTTGCCTGGACCCCTCCCACCCCAGCCCCTCCCCTCACTAGCTGGTGTCTCAGCGGCCAATCTCAAGTAAGAAAACTTCCAGGCAGGGTGTTGCAGCATAGACCTTCCATCTCGGCACTCCAGGGGCAGAGGTAGGAGGAGCTTTGTGAGTTCAGGGCCAGCCTGAGCTATATAATGTGTTCAGGATGTCCAGGACTACATAGAGATACCCTGTCTCAAAACCAAGGAACAAAGGAAGGGAAGGAGGGAGGGAAGGAGGGAGGGAGGGAGGAGGGAGAGAGGGAGGGAGGGAGGGAAGGAAGGAGAGAAGGAAGGGAAAGAGGGAGGGAAGGAGGGAGGGAAGGAGGGAGGAAGGGAGGGAGGGAGGGAAGGAGGGAGGGAGGGAGAGAGGGAGGGAAGGAAGGAAGGAGAGAAGGAAGGAGGAAAGGAAGGAAAGGAGGGAGAAAGGGAGGGAGGGAGGAAGGGAGGGAGGGAGGGAAACTCTCCAGCTGCCCTGAGACTGGACAAGTTCCTGCTTCCGCTAATTTCCCACACATCTCTTTTCTTCCCTATCATTGTCTGCGGGTGGGGAGTCTGGTGTTCTATCATCCTTGCTCTCTGTCCCGCAGTGATGGAAGGAAAGGGGAAGGAGGGAAATGGAACCCCGAGAGTGGAGGATGGAGTTCAGTGTCAAGCACTGGCCTAGCACACAGCAGACTCTGGCGGTTTAAGATGTCTGACGTGGGACTTTCGAGATGGCTCTTGGGGAAGTGTCTGCCATGCAAACACGAACACCTGAAACTGGATCCCAACACCTGTGTAAAAGTCCTGACGTAAACCTGTAAACCTGATGGTGTGAAGGGAAGAGCAATGGCCAAGCGTCATAGCCAAACCAAGGAGCCACAGCTTCAGTGAGAGACCCTTTCCCAAAAAATAAATAAATAAATAAATGTGGTGGGCGATTGAGGAAAGACACCCTCTGTCTTCTACACACTACTGCACACATGTACACCTGCACATACACATGTACACACTAACAAGTACATACACAGGACACACGAACACACACAATGCATCTAATATCTGAAGACTGGGAGTTCCAGAAAGATAAGAAATTGTCGAAGGCACAGTATAGCTGAATATGGTGGCTCACTCCTCTCTAATCCCAGCCCTTGGGAGGCTGAGGCAGGAGGATAACCTCGAGTTCAAGGTTAGCCAGCTCCAGAGTGTTTTCCTTTGCAAGAGTTGTCATGGCCATGGTGTCTCTTCAGAGTAATAGAAACCCTAACTAAGACAGCAACTTCAGAAAAACCGGAAACTAAATGTCATCGGAATTTCCAAAAGCCATACTGTAGACCTGGAGAAAATAATAATAATTTAATAATGAGCAGCTGAAATACAGATCAAATGTTCAAGGAGGGGGGTGTACAAGGAAGATGTGTCTCAGCAGAAGTGGAGGATACAAGAGATGAATCCTCAGCACTCACAACCAACAGTGCCAAAGAGCTGAGAAACGGAAGTTCAGATTGACATCTGTAAACACAGATTTACACCTGAGATGCCGTTAAAAGGAGCTGATTTGTTGTTGTTGTTGTTGTTGGTTTTTTTTTTTTTTCCTACGACACAATGATTTTTGTTTTGTTTTGTTTTCCCCCACGAGGGCCTTTTTTTTTTTAACTATGCATAAATATTTCTTTGAAAAATACATAATTAAGTTTTCTTGTTTGTTTGGCTGGTTGGTTGGTTTTTCAAGACAAGGTTCCTCTGTGAAACAGCCCTAGCTGTCTTAAAACTCACTCTGCAGACCAGGCTAGCCCCAACTCACAGAGACACCCTCCTGCCTCTGCCTCCCAAGCACTGGGATTAAAGGCGTGTGCCACCACCGCCGCCGCCACCCCGGGGCCCATAATTAAGTCTTGAAGTAAAATTTCTGAACAAAAAGAAAACCTTTGCATATTACCCACAGATTCTGGGGCCCCCTCCCCCTGCCCCCACAGAGCAATGGTACCTGCTCGTTGGTAACTCCTGGACGTAGGGTGCCATGCTTGTAGTCCTCCAGCAACTGCACAGCCTCCCTGAGGCGCCTCTGTAGAGGAAAGAGAAGACACATTGTGTGGCATCAGAGCTACTTCTGACAGTCCTGCCTTCAACCAGAGCGACAGTGTTCACACGCATGACCACCACCCTCAGAATACACGTAAGCATCTCCTGACCACATCCAGGGTAATTTCCTGAGTGAGAACAAAATGGCCAAGCAGTATAGCATCGTTCACTGGACCAATCACACAGACGACACACAGACACACAGACACATGGGTAGGAGTAGGAGGCAGCAGGTAAAAGGTTTTCAAGGAGTGTATTTATGTATCTATGAAAATAAGCAAAAAGAAGTGGAGACCCACCAAGCTCACAACAGGAGTAACTTAGGTTGGAGAAAAAAGGGACCAAGGCACGACATGACAGGGATCGGGAAGAACCAAAAGCTTCTATTAGGGGGATATAACCACGTTACACTTCCATGATTTATTTTTGTCATTTAAAAAAGTACTAGCCAGGACTGGCAAAATGGATCCGTGAGCAAAAGTGATTGTAGCTAAGTCTGACTACCTGTGTTCATGCCTGTAATCCTAGCACCGTAGACGTGGAGGTAGGACCATCAGATCATGACAGCCATGGTTACACAGCAAGTTCAAGACCTTCAGAACAGCTCCCGCACATGGCCGAGACTACAGATCACTTAATAGTAGTATAGATAATACATAAACTGGACTATAGACGATGAGACACGCTGCCTTTGCAGGACACCCAAGTTTGATTCCCAGCACCCACACGAGAGGGCTAACCTGTAACTCCAGCTCCACAGGACATAAGGACCTCTTTTGCCTCCATGGGCACCAGACTCACGTGCACAAACTCACTCACACACACTCACACACACACACACACACACACACACACACACACACACACGTTAAAAAGAACATAACAACAAAGACACATGGAGACACATGCCTGGAATCCCAGCACTCAAGAGGCTAAGGCAGGAGGCTCTCAAGTTTGAGGCCAAAAGAAGAAAGAAGAAAAGGAAGATACCAGAAAAGGCAGGAAAGCATAACAGTCCTCGTTGCCAACCACTGTACACAATACCAGGAAAACCACAGCATAAGCTTAGCTTTCATTATAGACTCTGAATGGTTTCTTTCTTTTCTTTTCTTTTCTTTTTTTTCTTTGCTTCCTTTGATTTTGTTTTGGTTTGTGTTTTAGGGGGAGGGTTTCCACTTTGTAGCCCAGGCTAGCCCAGATCTCACCATGTAGCTGAGGTTGGCCCCTAACTTGTGGGCAACGTTTCCGCCTCAGACTTCCCCAGAGCTAGGGCAGTAGGTGGGCACCACAACTGGCCTTGTGTTTCAGAAAAATTGGATCACATTGTTTTAATTTGCTTAAGGCTGCATGAGGAGTAAGCTCAGGATTTAGCTCTTGAACTAAATTTCATTAAACCTTTGCCAGGTAACCCCCCCAGGACCCCAAGACCTCCTAGAGGTGCTCAGGGTCCCCAAGCCCGAGTGGCTTCCTTCCTTCTGCAGCATGGGCCTCTACGGGCCTGGACAATGCATGCTCTGCTTTCTGGTGAAATGCAGTGAAGAGCCCTGAATTCTCTCATTATTTCTCCTACCCCAGGGATTCTCCTGAGTTCCTATAACAACCTGGCCAGACTCCATCTCATTTGACACAGTCATCAAAGGCAGCCTCAAGCCAAAAGAATCAGTTCCATTAAGCCCCGAGCTTGGCAAAGAAAGTAAGAGCGAAGGAGAGCCAAAGTTCCTGCAGACAGGCCCGAGGGCCCACAATGGAGGAAAGCTAGAAGGAACCTTTCCACTCTGGGCCTCAAGGCTAGCGTTGGCCTAAGACTTGCTCGAAGGTCCTGTGGGATGAACATGACCCCAGTCACCTGTGCGGAGAGGACACAAGAGCTGGCTGCTCCAGGGATTTTTCAGGGAGGCTCAGGGCTCGCAAGAAATGTCTCCTGCTATGCCCTGCTCTCCAGCCACTCCAGCCCTGGCAGAAGGGCTTTAAGGAGGAGGAATGCTGGGAGGTCAGTGCTGGGTGAGCTTGGCAGGAAGTCTTTTCAACCAGGAACAAACAGGCAGCTAATCCCTGGGTGTAAAAGTTGTGAGGGGCCCAGCTGGCTGGGGGTGGCTGCTAGGCTGGTGCCCCGGCTGTAGCCCCAGGCTGGGAGCACACCAGCCAACGATGCTGCTTCCCAACTCCCCATCACCAGCCTGTCTGCCTGTAGCCAGGGTGCCTCAAAGAGGCAAGATGAGCTCTCTGTATTCCACGGGGGTATGGTCTCCAGAGGTCCTCTGCAAACACAAGTACTGGGAGGCATGCCCGAGCAGCAGACTACTGGCCTGAGGAGCATCTTGCCCCTGTGGACCTGCTGGGAAGCCCCAAGCAGAGATGTATAGGAGTCTGGGGGAGGGGAGAGGGGTCAAAGATAGAGGGTCACAAGAAAGAAAGTATACAAAAAGGGAAAGTGAGTGTGGCAGCGCACATCTGCACTCCTATTACTTGGAAGGTGAAAGCGTGAGAGTCTGAAATTCAGGGCTAACCTCAGCTACAAGGTGAGTCTGAGGCACAGGGCTCAGGGCCAATGCTACCGGCACTGCAATCGGTCTCCAGACCTTCTCCTGTCTTGTTCTAGTTTCCTTTCTGTTGCTGTCACAAAAACACTTGGACCAAAAGCAAAATAGAGAGGAAAGGCTTCGCTCCCATATCATAATCCGTCACTGAGGGAAGTCGAGGCAGGAGCTCCCAGGCAGAAAACACGGAGGAATGCTGCTTGTTGCCTTAATCTCTGGCCCATGAACATCTGCCTGGGGATAGTGTCACCCACAGACGCTGCATCAATCAACAATCAAGACCAAACCAACATGGTCTAGGCAACACTACAAGCATAGCTTTTCTCTCGGCTGACCCTAGACTGGGTCAACGTGGTAATTAAAGCTAACTCAGACACTGTCCTAAACCCTTTCTCCTACCCTCCCTGGAGGCCAAGCTAAACTGGGTTAGCTGAGATAAGCCCCTGCCTCCCACTGACTATGAGCCATGTTCTGCAAGGCCAGGGGAAGAAAGAGCCAGGGATACACAAATTCCCCCAAAGCTGACCTCCAGCTGCCTTAGGACCAGGAAAGTAAACTGGGAAGTTCTGGCTGTGGGACAGACAATGCTCAATCGGAACAATGCTCAATCGGCCTAAGAGCATTAAAACCCACCATGGCCTAAATTATATTGAGGTGGGACGGACCCGGAGAGACAGCTCGGTAGTTAGAGCACTTCCTACTGACGCAGAGAACCCCGGCTTGAATCCCAGCACCTGTTATATTCAGTGTGGTAGGTAAGACAAAAATGCATCAAATAGACAAAAAACTTGACTTGTAACTTGGCAAGCATGTGTGTGTGTGTGTGTGTGTGTGTGTGTGTGTGTGTGTGTGATCACGTGCCCACAGAGACCAGAAGAGAACATAGGATCCCCTGGAGCTAGAATTACAGGTAGTTGTGAGCTGTCCAACATGGATGTTGGGAAGTGAATTTGGGACCTCTGGAAGAGAACTGAGCCATCTCTCCGGCACCAAAGTTTGTTTTTGACAGGATTTCATGCACCTGAGTCTACTTTGGATTCATGATCCTTCTGCCTCCACCTCTCAAGTGCCGGCATGGCAGGCACAAGCCACCTCCCCCTATCCCCCCCCCCACTCTAGTTATTTATTCTAACCTGCAAAGCACTCAGCATAGTTCTGAATTACTACATTAATTTAGTAGTAAGTGGGTGTTTTTAATAATATTTCTGGGGCTGGAGAGATGGCTTAGCAATTAAGAGCACGTGCTTCTCTTCCAGAAGACCCAGGTTCAATTCTCAGCACCTACATGTTGGCTTAGAACTATCTGTACAACCAGTTCCAGAAGATCCAATGCCCCCTTTTTAGCCTCTCTAGGCACCAGGCAAACACATGGTACATAGACATACATGTAAGCAAAACATCTATGCACACAAAAACAATACATATATGTATGTATACATATACACATATATCATATTATTTTGGCTAGTAGTCTCTGTTTTTAAGATGATCATTTGTTAATCCTTTTTTGTTTGTTTGTTTGTTTGTTTCTAGACAGGGTTTCTCTGTGGCTTTGGAGGCTTTGGAGCCTGTCCTTGAACTAGCTCTTGTAGACCAGGCTGGTGTTGAACTCACAGAGTTCCATCTGCCTCTGCCTCCCAAGTGCTGGGACTAAAGGTGTGTCCCACCACTTTCTGGCTTCATTTGTTAATCTTTAAGTGATGATTGAAATCAGAGCAGCTAATTTATGCCACCTTCAAGCAAAATTAAAGCAACTTAAACCCAGGTGTTGGGAGGAGGATTACTATGTATTCAAGGGTAGCCTAGTCCAAGATAGCCTATGCTACAAGATGAGAGACGTTTTTAAAAAGAAAAAATCCAGCCAGGCAATAGTGGGGCACACCTTAACCTCAGTACTCAGAGGCAGAGAAATCTCTGTGAGTTCGATGTCAGCCAGGTCTACAGAGCGAGTGCCAGGACAGGTTCCAAAGCTACACAGAGAAGCCCTATCTTGAAAAACCAAAAAGAAAAGAAGAAAGAAAGAGAGAAAAAAAGGAATATCCCCAAATGTGAAGGTAGAGAACTTTAATCCAGCACTCAGAAGGCAGGCAGATCTCTGTGAGTTCAAGGCCAGCCTGTTCTACATAGTGAGTCCCAAGCAGGCCAAGGCTACACTGCAAGATCCTGTCTTAAAACAACAAAATAACAATGGCAAACATCGCCATGGATGGTGGAAGACGCCTGTCTGTAGTCCTAACACTTTGGAAATGGAGGCATGAGGGTCAGAAGTTCAAGGATTGCATCAGCTACTGTGGTGGTCTGAATAGGTGTGGCCCCCATGGACACATGCGTTTGAATGCTTGGCCCATAGAAAGTGGCATTATTAGGAGGCATGGCCTTGTTAGAGTGGGTGTTCCCTTGTTGGAGGAAGTGTGTCACTGTAGGGGCAGGATTTGCGGTCTCATAT